AGAGAGAGCAAGGACTATACTTTGCAGTTGGCTCCATGCAAAAACTTACACGTTTGCTGGAGTGGAGAGAAATCAACCGAAAAGGCCCAGAATGTTTTAGCACTATTGATTTAGGATCATGCCATGAGATGGGACTCAAGATGGCTGTGATTAGAGCAGAACCTGGTACTTGTTGTGAATAAAGATAGGATTACGTTTCGATTCCGGGAAAGCGGACAGGATATGATGGGCAGAAAAGAAGGGAATCGGAGAAAGAAAATCTTCCTTCTGCAATTAAATATTGTCATGTGAATTTTCCCTATTCCCAACCCCCACCCCCACCCCCACCCCTTTTGTTTTTGGTTAGGGGCAAGTTGAACTCATGTTTTGCTAACTCTGTAGATAAGTTCAGGTTGAGAGTTTTTTCCTCCCACCAGAGGACAGAAGGAGGGAAGCAACCTAGAACTAAGGAGAAACTTCCTGACAGTCAGAACAATTAACCAGTGGAACAACCTGCCTCCAGAAGCGGTGAATGCCCCAACACTGGAAGTTTTTAATAAGAAACTGGACAGCCATTTGTCTGAAATGGTCTAGACCTAGGGTTACCTGTCTGAGCAGGGGGTTGGACTTGATAACCTCCAAGGTCCCTTCCAACTTTTATTATTACTATTATTATTATTATTATTATTATTATTATTATTATTATTATTATTATCACTGTTGCACAGTCAGTCAGATGTTCAGACTTGATTTGGCATTTTGCCTTACCCAGGACCTGGGATAGGCAGACGTGAATGTTTGATGGTATTACAGATATCGTCGCAGGATGGAAGCAGTTCCTAGTAAGGCCATATTTTGCAATTGATTGATGGCAAATTTGTCAATGTCGATGATGGTGTTCAGGTGGTGCTCCAGTTGTTTTGGGATTGCACCCAAGGAGCCTATGACTATTGGTACTACCCTTGCTTGCTTTTGCCATAATTTTTCTATTTCTATTTGTAAGTCTTTGTATTTTGTTATCTTCTCCAGTTCTTTCTCGTCTATTCTGCTGTCTCCAGGCACTGCCACGTACACTATCCAGACTTTTTTGTCTTTTTTATCGACAGTTGTTAGGTCTGGGGTGTTATGTTGCAGGTGCTTGTCTGTTTGAATTCAGAAGTCCCAGAGCAGTTTAATTTTATCATTTTCTATGACTTCCTCTATTTTATGATATTATTATTATTATCGATCATCGCACAGTCAGCCAGATGTTCAGACTGGATTTGGCATTTTGTCTACCTATCGAGTCCTTACCCAGGACCTGGGATAGGCAGATGTGGATGTTTGATGGTATTACAGATATCGTCGCAGGATGGAAGCAGTTCCTAATAAGGCCGCCTTTTGCAATTGACTAATAGCGAATTTGTCAATGCCAATGGTGTTCAAGTGGTGCTCCAGTTGTTTTGGGATTGCACCCAAGGAGCCTATGACTATTGGTACTACCCTTGCTTGCTTTTGCCACAGTCTTTCTATTTCTATTTGTAGGTCTTTGTATTTTGTTATCTTCTCCAGTTCTTTCTCTTCTATTCTGCTATCTCCAGGCACTGCCACATCCACTATCCAGACTTTTTTGTCTTTCTTATCGACAATTGTTAAGTCTGGGGTGTTATGTTGCAGGTGCTTGTCTGTTTGAATTCTGAAGTCCCAGAGCAGTTTAATTTTATCATTTTCTATGACTCTCTATTATTATTATTATTATTATTATTATTATTATTATTATTATTATTATTATTATTATTATTATTATTATTATCGATCATCGCACAGTCAGCCAGATGTTCAGACTGGATTTGGCATTTTGTCTACCTATCGAGTCCTTACCCAGGACCTGGGATAGGCAGATGTGGATGTTTGATGGTATTACAGATATCGTCGCAGGATGGAAGCAGTTCCTAATAAGGCCGTCTTTTGCAATTGACTAATAGCGAATTTGTCAATGCCAATTGTGTTCAAGTTTTATAACTTTTCTTCAGTTAAATGCATAAATAAATTTGACGAGATTTTAAGCTATCTACCTACAATCTTTGAATTAGAAGGTAAACGATGCTGGTGCTTCTGTTACAGAGATACTCAAAGAGTCTCAGCCATTCCCACAAAGCTGGGCCTGGATTCCGTCTCTCCTTCCAAAGCTGTTGCTTCCATTTGTCTTTCCTAAGCCTTTCACTCATTTTGGAAAGAGATTTTATTTCACCTGAAGTTTTGCTAGATCAGTGATTCTCAACCTTTTTAATGCCGCGATCCCCAACAGGTCGTAAGTCGAGGACTACTCAACTGGTGCAGCACCGTTTGCAGAATGGGACTTTTGGCGGGCTCAGCAGGGCAGAGACAGCCTGGAATATTCCTATTGGCTTTCGAAAGCCAATAGAATTAGACTCTATTCAAGAGAGTCTATTCTATTGGCTTTCAAAAGCCAATAGAATAAAAGGGAGGAGCACAGCTAAGGAAAAGGGGGAAAAAATGGCGGACTGTGTTGTTTGGCGACCCCCGTGAAATGGTCATTCGATCCCAAATGAGGTTCCGACCCACAGGTTGAGAACCACTGTGCTAGATAAATGTTCACGCTTCCTTCATCAGCCTTGCCCTCTTTTCTCTCTTTTCCTTGATTTGGGGAGTAATGGCTGGTTGTTGTTTTTTTTGTGTGTGTGTGTTTTGTTTTCCTGTAGTGTTTCTCTTTTGTCTGAGCAAATGAAAACGGAATTGCTTGGCAAGCCGCAGCCGTTTGTGATGTTTTTGCCCAAATATTCTTGTTCAAGCGCAACAAGCATGGCCCTCTCGGCATCTCACAAAGGTGTGTTCTGCTTCTGTCAGTCTTGAGGTTCCTCCGAGTGTTGTGACAACCCCTTGTCTTCTGTGCTTTGTCGGCAAGCCAGTTCATCCTCCACACTTGAGTTCAAATCAGAAGGAATTGTGACTCTTTCCGTGTTTGAAGTTGTGGGGTTTTTTTCCCCCCAGAAAAATATCCCTTTGGGAGAGAGACGTTGGCAATTGAATCGTTGTGATTTGCAATAATTGCCATAAGTAAAGACCTTCCGATCCTTCTAGCCCTCTGATTGTGTCTATCTGTCTGACTCTTGTCTGTCAGTCTCTGTGTAAGGCCTTCTGAATGAGTTTCCCAGTATTGTTTGACAAGCTCAAAAACACTTGAATTTTCAATTTGTGATGCACTGCATGGATTCAAGGAAATCTGGCGATCGATCAATCAGAATAGAGCTGGAAGGGACCTTGGAGGTCATCTAGTCCAGCCCCCTGCTCAGGCAGGAAACCCTGCACCATTTCGGACAAATGGCTGTCCAGTCTCTTCTTAAAAACTTCCAGTATTGGAGCATTCACTGCTTCTGGAGGCTGGTTGTTCCACTGGTTAATTGTTCTCACCGTCAGGAAATTCCTCCTTAGTTCCAGGTTGCTTCTCTCCTTGATTGGCTTCCATCCGCTGCACCCACAACTTCTGAAGGCAAGCTGTAAAACACAATAAAAATTGTGTCTGTGTGTGAGCCAGGGATAGAGACAGCCGCTTTGATATAATCAGAAAGAAACCAGAAGAGTTGCAAACGCTTCTTGCACAAGACGAAACCTGGAGACGAAGGCTTTGATTTCTTTCATTTGGGGATTTTGGCAGGGCTGTGTGTGATCTTCCCTCTCTACAAAGAGGTCTCGCAAAGGAAATTAACATGTTGTGAGGGGAAAGCACTTATTGATCTGACATTTGTCTCCTCTTTATTTACTTAAGCCTCTATTTGTTAAAACGGAAGGTAAATTTCAGCTTCTCTCTTGGGGTGCTGAAGGAGCACAGGGGCCATGGAGACGGCTTGCCTGCCATTTCAATTTCATGATCGTCCTTCGCACACAGTTTTCTTACAAAGTTGTGGTGCTTCAGCGCATAGTAGCAGTGGGTGGCTGTTAATTAACCTCACAAGCGGAAAGAGTTGCTGCGGATCACGATCATTGCTGTCCATCTGTAGCGTAACATTTTGTACCTGGCTGTCTCTTTCAATCACATATAATTAAAGCTTTATTTAATTCCTAGCAGATTTATTTAATTTTTTTTGGCTGACCTTTTGTTGTTTAGATTAAGATAGATAGATAGATAGATAGATAGATAGATAGATAGATAGATAGATAGATAGATAGATAGATAGATAGATATAGATGATATAGATATAAATATATAGATATATAGATATAGATATATAGATACAGACAGAGATAGAGATAGATAGATAGATAGATAGATAGATAGATAGATAGATAAATATAGATAATAGATAGAGAAGATAGATAGAGATATAAGATAGAGATAGATAGATAGATATAGATGATAGATAGATAGATATAGATGATATAGATATAGATATAGATATAGATATATAGATATAGATATATAGATATAGATATAGATATATAGAGATATATAGAGATAGATAGATAGATATAGATGATATAGATATAAATATATAGATATGTAGATATAGATATATAGATATAGATATAGATAGATATAGATGATAGATAGATAGATAGATAGATAGATATAGATATAGATATAGATAATAGATAGAGAGATAAGATAGATAGAGATATAAGATAGAGATAGATAGATAGATAGATAGATAGATAGATAGATAGATAGATAGATAGATAGATAGATATAAAATTATAGGATCCACATTGCAGGAAAAGGGAAGGTAAATAAATCAAATTCTTTCAAAATGCGGTGGGGATGCTGAGCAAGAGATGCTAATAGGTTTAGCATCTTGATAGTGGAGATTAAAATATTGAAATTGCAAAAATAATAAGCCAATTGCAATACATTAGGAAAGCAAGGGAAGAGAAAAAGACTATTTGAGCATTCACTAAATGAAATATTGACAGTATTTGTAATTCAATATTTGGCAGAAAAAAAAAGATAATCGCCTAGATTAAACATGGATTAAGCTGGTTTTTTTTTCTCCTTTCCCCCTCTTCTCCATCCCTTTGCGTTTTAGGCCTAACTCCACCTACCACCCCTCCTCATAAGAGCAGCCAAGACAATCCTTTTGGGACTTTGCCAAAGCCCACGGTGTCATGCCAGACTGTTATGCCACCTTCCCCAAAACCTCGCTGCAGTGACTCTTCCATCTCTCAAGGACGCAATTTGTTCTGGAAGGGTCCGGAGCAGTCGGAGCTATATGCCCAGCTGAGCAAGACCAGTGTGCTGCCCGGGGGCCGTGAGGAGAGGAAGGCGAGGCGGGCTGGCTTGCCACTCTTCGGTGACCACGATTACTGTCAGTCGGCCATTTCTAAGACAGAACGATGCGTCAACCGCTCCCTGGAACTTCAGAATCCCCATCAGGAATTTGAATTCTCAGGCTGCCTGTCCGGCTATGAGTGGTGCCACATTTGTTCCTCCTTTGAGCAGAACCGCCAGGAGGATGAGCGAGAAACTTCGCAGGCGAGGAAACAGGACTTACCGTGCAACAGCCGGAAACAGCTGCAAGACCAGGAAATCCGGGCTGAACTCAACAAGCATTTTGGTTACCCTAGCCAAGCGGTTCTCGAGGAAGAGATGAATAACACCAGCCATCTGAGGGAGTACAGTCACTACAGCGATGAACAGTTCTCTAAGCTATCCATGTTTATCAATTCGGGACTAGCGATGGAGGGTTTTTGGGACGACGACGAAGCGGAAAATGAAAAGCTGTGCTGCTCGTGGTACGGGACGCAAGGCTGCACCTTATTTGATACGTCACCTTCTTGCTCATCCCAGAATTCTCCATGCAGAGACTTGGAGTCTCCACCCAACTCATTTGCTCAACGGTTCCAGAGGCTATGCGCTCAGTCGAGGTCCTTCCCACAGTGCAGGCATTGCGCCCACTCTCCGTATTCCCGTTCAAGATCACGGTCGCCTGGCAAACGCTGCTCCTCGAGGTAAAGGGATTGTGGGAAGCATGTTTTCCACTCCATGAAATGAGAGGTTCCCTTTCAGAAAGTTGGGGAGCCTACATTGTATCAGTAAATGCTTTGGTAGGAAGCTAACTCCAATTTACAAGCGGGTGTGATGGCTCAGCTTGTCAGCTGGAAAGCTGAGGACAGCCCGGGTTTGAGATCTGAGTGCCACGTGGTGGGGTGAGTTCTCACGACTTGTCCCAGCTCTTGCCCACCCAGCAGCTTGAAAGCATGAAAATGATAGATAGATAGATAGATAGATAGATAGATAGATAGATAGATAGATGATACAAAGATATAGATAGATAGAGAGTGAGAGACAGAAAGAGATGGATGAGAGAGATAGAAATAGACATAGGTAGGTAGGTAGGTAGGTAGATAGATAGATAGATAGATAGATAGATAGATAGATAGATAGATAGATAGATAGATAATACATATAGAGATAGAGAGTGAGAGAAAGAGATAGAGAGAAATAGAGAGAGAGAGATAGAGAGTGAGAGTGAGAGAGAGAAAGAGATAGAGAGATAGGTAGGATGGATGATACACAGATGATACATAGAGATAGATATAGTCAAAGAGAGGGGGGGTAAATGGATGGATAGATAGATAGATAGACAGGTCTGATGATATAGAAGCATTCAAAAGCATTCAATATATAAAAGCATTCTGTTTTCACTTCCATAATGTTGTGTAATGTTATTGCCAACATGAATGCATTTTGCTTTCATATTTATAACGTTCCTTCAGTTAAATAAATAAATTTGAAAAGATTTTAAGATATCCACCTACAATATAATTCCTTGAATTAGGAGGAATTTATTTTGGCTGTGAAGGGTAGGATGGCTTAGTGGTTAAAGAAGCTGAGCTTGTCAGCTGGGAAATCTGGGGTTTGAGATCCGAGCTCAGCATAATGGGGTTCGTTGCTCTAGCTCCTAGCAAACCTATCAGTTTGAAAGCATGCAGATGCAGGTAGATAAATAGGTACCACTTCACTGGGAAGTTAACAGTCATAGTTGAAGGTAGCACATCTGAGTTTGCTTTTGTTTCCCATATGCCCAAAAATAAAATTTAAAAAGCCGACAGAACCCAAAGGATGAAGCCCGCTGTGTTGATTTGTGTCCTTGGGGAAATCCTGGCCCTTGACTGCAACAATTCATTTTTGTTTCTCAGATATGACAGCTATGAGGAATATCAGCATGAGAGGCTGAAGAGGGAAGAATATCGCAAAGAATACGAGAAACGGGAATCCGAAAGGGCGAAGCAGAGAGAAAGAGAGAGGCAGAAAGCAGTGGTAAGCTCTCTACAGATAACACTGTTGTGTTGAAAGACGTGTTTTTGTGTGTCTGCTTGTGTACGTTATGCAATCTCCTTGAATGTAATAAACAAAATGGTTGGATCTTTTTGCATGAATTTCTCTGGACTCCCATGTTTATATTTTATCCAGTTATTCAGTACCAGCCAGCAAAATAGCTTCGAATTAAAAAGCATATGGATGTACAACGAAAATAAAATTCTACCATTGAAGACACTTTCTCTGTAGCCTGGACATAATTCTTTAGTTCATTGCATACCACCCTTTTCCTAGAGAGTGTTCAGTGTTTTTCCTCCATAATGGTTACCCAAAGAACTTTATACTGTGATGCATATCATCCAAACCCCCAAAAGCCACACAGAACAAACGCAACATGGAAGCAAGTCCTGTCATACATCAAAGGAACATCAGAAGTTGCTGCCATGCTACTTCAACCCTTGAGAATAATAATAGCTCACAAACCCACAATTACTTTCAAACAAGAACTGTTGGAATACATTGTTGGAATATATTTTTGTGCAACAACTGCAGTAATATTCAGCCAGTAGATGGCAGTGTTTACAAGTTTGGATCTACAGTGTATACTCTATGTCTCTTTTGTCTTAAGTAGAATTTCCTGTTTCCTGTCAGAGTTAAACAGTTAAGCAGTAAAGCACATGGTGACTGTACACTTTGTTTGATCAGTGGTGCTATATATAAACAGAATTTCTAACAAGAACTGAGATTCAAGGACAAAATACGGAAAGCAGACAGCACTAATGCAATATACAAAGTCAGCTGCAACAATTGCAACCAGTTCTAGGTCAGACAAACAGGACGACAGTTGAAAACTAGAATTCATGAGCACCAGCTGTCAGTCAAACGGCATGACCAGAAATCCCTCGTCTTGAGTCATGTCAACAGTAAACAACACCGGGACGAAGCCAAAATCATTAGCCATGCCAAAATCCGTCATGCACACGAATTCATCGAAGTCTGGCACTCTGCAAACGGATCTATCAGTAAAGGCATTGACTTGGAACCAGCGTATGAACCTCTTAAGAAACTGAACCATCCAAATGACCAATCAACGAGAGAAACAACCTCCTCCTCACCAGTTGAATTTCGCGCCACACATTCAACCAGTTGTACAACCAACTGACGGATATAAACGGTAGAGAAAGCAAACAAGGCACTTCAATCAGAATCCCACTTAAGGTGTTACCTGGTCTGGTAACGAAATGTCCAGGAGCTAAACGGCAACCTCGGAGAACAAGCCACTGCCAGAGTCTTCAGTGCTACAGCTTGATCCCCAGTGGGTTTGTCTGCTCTTAGAAGTAGATGGTGCTGATTCCCTAAAGCAGAGGTCCCCAACCTTTTGGGCACCAGGGACCGGTTCTGTGGAGAGAGGTTTTTCCGTGGACCAGAGGGGGCGTGATTTTGTGTGTTGCCTGCATCCTGTGGATGGGGCTTTGCTTGTTTGTGTAGACCGGTTGCTGGCATGTGACGGCCCGTTACTGGTCCACAGACGGGGGGTTGGGGACCCCTGCCCTAAAGAATAGGCTACATTCAGCCTGAGAGGTGCTGTGGTTTAATCGGTAAGGCATTCGGCTAAAAACCAGGAGACTCGGAGTCCATCTTAGGCATGAAGTTACCTGGATGACCTTGGGCCGGACTATCTCTCTCAGCTCAAGGAAGCAGGCAATGGCAAAGCACATCTCAAATCAAGAAGAATACAGGGACTTGTCCAGGCTGCCACTAAGAGTCAACCAGGAGTATTTTTGAATGCACGAAAATAAAAATTGGGGCTTCATATTCAGAGCCAGTATGTCTCTTAATGCAATTGTTGATATTAATAGCAGATAGCAGGTTACCGCGATAGTACAATTTATAAAAGTGCTTAGCTAGCTCCTGTGGATTAAGTACTGGCAGGGTTAGTCACACCTTCCCTTCCAATGGACAACCTCTTTCTTTCCATTCATACCATTATACAATAATAAATACATATGGAGGAAGCCTTTTTGCATTACTGATGTATGTCAACCGCTTGGAAAAGTGCTCAGATGATGTTAATCTAGCCGAGGAATGAAACATCTACAAGAACATAATATAATAGGGTGGGAAGGGGCCTCAGAGATCTTCTAGACCACCCCCTGCTCGAGCAGGAGAACCTATAACATTTCAGACAAATGGCTGTCCAGTCTCCTTTTGAAAGCCTTCAGGGATGGAGCACCCACAACTTCTGAAGACGAGCCCTTTCCTTGGTTGATTGCTCTTATCGTTAGGAATTTTTTCCTTAGTTCTAGATTGCTTCTCTTCTTTATCTCCTTTCCACCCATTGCTTCTTGTCCTCCCTTCAGGGGCTTTGGAGAATAGCTTGATCCCCTGTTTTTGTGGCAGCCCCTCAAGCAGTGGAAGACAGTTACTATGTCATCCCTAGCCCTTCTTTTCACTAAAGTAGACGTACTCCGTTCCTGTAACCCTTCTTCACATATTTTAGCCTCTAGCCCCCTAATTATTTTCATTGCTCTTCTCTGCACTTTTTCCAGAGTCTCAACATCTTTTTTTTTTTTTTTGTATTGTAGTGACCAGAACTGGATGCAGTATTCCAAGTGTGGCCTTACTAAAGCTTTGTAGTTACAAAGCAGAGAACATCAAAAATCCAATAGTTATTGCATTCAGTCTGATCCATTCTCATGCTTGGGTAGGAGAGACTGGGAAAGATCAAAGAGCTACAACGCTCGCACCACAATCACAACAGGCAGGCCGTTTAAAGAAACAGCTAGTTCAATGTTTCCTGTGCCTGGAAGACATATGGTGTCTTTCGGTGTTAAATTTCAATTTCTACATTCGAGCTCTTTTTACTTATTCCCTTAGTTGTACTTTACTAAGCCCTTTTTATTTTATTTTATTTTTTTAAAAAGCGGAGTTGGTTTTTCTTCTTCTCTAAACAAGAAAGAAAAGGTGGAGAACTAAAAGCTGAAAAAAGAATTACACCCGTGACAAATTTCATGGAAACATATGGGAAAGATCTTATTGGCATCACGTTGCTCCTTAGCGTTCTCCACATCGTCAGTTTGTGAAACTTTATGGGTTTTTCTCTTTCCCCCCCTTCCAGTTTAGGTATTTGATCGGAAATGGAGTGTAGGAGAAAATCTGCTGTTATGCTCCATCTGGTCAGTCATTTAGGTTCAACAGCTAGCGTCAACCAAATTGTTTCTTACCAAGTGGTTTAGCACAGTTAAGTTTTTGTTTTGGTAAAAGACATGGGGGGGGGGGATATATATATATATATTTCACTGTACTGGAGCCAATCTTTACTGTTTCCCAGATTTATGAGCTGTGAATCCTCCCCCATTTCAAGGTAGGACCGTTAGAAAGGCGGGAAGAGAAAATAAAACAAGAAGACGGAAAGACCCTGCTTGCATCTGCCTCATTAGCTTGGCTCTGTCTAAAGAGCCCTTCCCAAGCTGCAGAGGTCTTTCATAGAAGAATCTCAGAATGGCCATCGTCGCAGCCTCTAAAACCTGGGGCAGTTTTAACCAAGAGTTGTACAATGTCTGTTTGTACGTTTGAGTGATCCTTCGGGACAAGAACTGAGCTAGCCAAGTGAGAAACGTGGAATCAGGGACAAAACCCAAGTGAGGTCCCAAAATCAGCCCAGCTTGGGAAATGCAATACAAGATGATGATGATAATGATGATGATAGTAATAGGCACCTTGGGTGCAATCCCAAAACAACTGGATCACCACATGGACACCATCATCGGCATTGACAGATTCGCCATCAGTCAATTGCAAAAGGCAGCCTTACTAGGAACCGCTTCCATCCTGCAATGAGATCTGTAACACCGTCAAACATCCACATCTGCCTATTCCTATATTCGAATTTCTTGTTTTGTTGACAAAGAGTTAAATGGGAGACTAGAATAGCTATTTCAAGCTTTTTAGCTCTCATCAGCTAAAACTGCAATATAGCAGTTAAAAAAACCCAAGGTGCATCAACCAGACCGGTCTGTCTGGAAAAAACGTACCATATATTCCCTTGGCTCAGCTGACAAAAGTAGGGAGAAGAGCTGGTGGCCTGGAGGTTAAGACATCTGCCTAGTATTCAGGCTGCTTAGGTTCGAATCCCATAAAGGGTATGGCTAGCTGATGAGAGCTAAAAAGCTTGAAATAGTCTCCCAGTTAATTCTTTAACTCTTTGTCAACAAAAAAAGAAATTCAAATTTGTAGTGTATCGCAGTAGCGACTTGACACACACACACACACACACACACACACACACACACACACGTAGCTGGAGTCATAGGCTAAAAAAGCTGAGCTTCACCATTACAGCTACTTACTATCTGCACTAAAAGCCATTTATTTACTCAGGCCATGTCCTTGGCATTCCTGAGAGAGCTTTTGAGTACTATTTTAGTTCCTAGAGAGAGAGAGAGGGAGAACAAGAAGAACCGCAGCGCTACAGGATAACATTGACACCGATAAGCCTCTAAAGCTAGTGCTAAAACTTTTGCTCTTTGAGTTTCTCCTTGGCCACCATTGAACTCTTTTTATTTAACTGGCCTATCTTTAAACGTGTTCTCAGTTTAGCAGCTAAGGCACGCTTGTAATTCTTCAGAGATAAAATTACAGTTTGGGGTGATGTTTTTTTTTTTTTTTAAGTTCCACCTTTCACTTCTTTCCTCTGTATCTCAAAATAGTTAATATTCAGAATGAGATTATCGCTTCCAAGGAAACATGTCCCAGTCCAGAAGGGAGCAGCTAAGTAGCTAAATCACTTGGAATAACTGCATCCAGTTTTGGTGGCCATGATGTAAAAAAGATGCTGAGACTCTAGAAAGAGTACAGAGAAGAGCAACAAAGATGATCAGGGGACCAGAGGCTAAAACACACGACAAACGGTTGCAGGAATTGGGAATGTCTAGTTTAAGGAAGAGAAGGATGAGGGGTAACATGATAGCTGTCTTCCAATATCTCAGGGGCTGCCCCAAAGCAGAGTGCAGTCAAGCTATTCTCCAAAGCGCCGGAAGGCAGGAGAAGAAGCAACGGATGGAAACTAACCAAGGAGAGAAGCAACCTAGAACTAAGGAGAAACTTCCTGACAACGAGGACAATTAACCAGTAGACCAATTTGCCTTCAGAAGCGGTGAATGCTCCAACACTGGAGATTTTTAAGAAGAGATTGGTCAACCATTTGTCTGAAATGGTATAGAATTTCCTGCCTGAGCAGGGGGTTGGAATAGATGACCTCCAAGGTCCCTTTCAACTTTACTATTCTGTTAAATCAACTGGATGGATAGCCCTAGGCCAAAGAATCCGAGGAATTGAAAAAGCATGTTTGATCATCTCATTGCTGAACATCTGTAGGGATTTAAGCATTGACAGCTAGCACATCAATACTCAGATGTGTTGCTCCTCAAGCGTGTTGTTCCTTCACTGGGGAAAAAAATAATAATTACTTGAGGACATGGGAAGTCTGAAAAAATCCTCTTAGTTTTATGCACTCGTGGAAATACCTACCATTTGGGGCTAATTTATGTAGAAATTCTGTACCCTTTGTTCTTATGATCAGGAAGAACGTCGCGTCATTTATATTGGTAGAATTGGACCTGGCTTTACCCGAAGGCAACTGAGGGACCGGTTTGAAGTGTTTGGTGAAATTGAGGACTGTACAATGAATCTACAGGACGATGGGTAAAATTCCTCATTTTTCCCCCCTTTGGCTCTCCTTACTCAGAAGAGGAAAAATTAAAATACACTAAACCAGGGGTTCTCAACCTTGGCAACTTTAAGACTTGTGGACTTCAACTCCCAGAATTCCTCAGCCAGCTTTGCTGGCTGAGGAATTCTGGGAGTTGAAGTCCACAAGTCTTAAAGTTGCCAAGGTTGAGAACCCCTGGACTAAACCCTAGATTTGAAAATTGACCATAAAAATACAATAATATCCAAACTATGGTTTTGAAATGCCTTTCCCCTTCAGTGTGTGTTTATGAATTTAGCGATGGTTGAGATGTTCTGTTCCATCAATAAATATGTCAGGATTACTGTGAGGATTTGAAATTTATTTATATTATTCGGTCAATGGCCAGCAACATAAAGTAATAAAAAGAGAGATAAAAGACAGCAATTACAGTCAGGATCAAGAGGGAGAAGTGAGTACAATTATATACTGGAAACTGTAAAATGAATCAAATATGATATATTCTGAACATTTCTATTACAGTAATGCCATTTCTGTTCATCTGTATTCTGTATAATAATATGTTATATATAAAACTGTATATATATGTATATATATATATAAAATCTAATACTATTAATATATATATATATATATATATATATATATATATATATATATATATATATATATATATATATATATATATATATATGGTGAAAATATAAACTGAACACCAGGGTAATAAAAACTGTAAAAGTTTTTAATAAATTAAAACTATAAAAGTTTTAAAAAGCGCCAAGCTTTCGCCGTCGCCTGCCGGCATCCTCAGGGCTGGCGCGCCAGAGAATGAGAAGGTCTTTTATAGGCGTGTCAAGGTTTGCGCCCGGCTCCTTGATCTTGTTATCGGGCCTAATTGGTTCAGCCGTGTGCAATTAACATCACGGTTGGTCCGGAAAGGAGGAGAAGACCCCCTCATGCAGCCGGAACGATCAGCTCCAATGAGGACAAACCACGGGAGGTGGTTGACGATGAACTCTCGCACACCGTTATAGAGGAGGAGGGAAGATCGGAGAGCGGCAGGGTGCGGGAGATCGAGCCGTCACACCCCCTACCCGACGATCCTGAGGACTCCCATGGAACACACGCGAATGCTTTTAACAACGTAAAAAAGGGGAGAACTGAGGAAAAGCGCTGCAACCAGGAGGGGCGCGGCTTGATTGCTGTACACACACCCCCTGGACTGAGTACTCGGAGTAGGACACGCGCAAGACAGCTGGGCATGACAATGAATAAGAGACGACCCCTCCACCTTGCGGAATACCCCCCTACGCTGCACCGGACCCATAGCAACTTATGAGATCATCAGGATGACGGACACATTAAAAACGAAAGTATTGAGACCGGAAATGAATGCGATTCAAAAAGTAACAACCGGACAAGATACGGTGGAGAAAGGAACGTGGAATGTGCACTACCTGAGCCTGAGGGGAGGTCAGAACACAAAGGCAACCGAAATAACTGGAATTGCCACCTGGCTAATCCGGAGTTGGGAGAATTAGAGATGGATGAGGATAAAAATGCAACCAAAAAGAGAAAAGAAGTACAAGTTAATTGCACACGGCTGAACCAATTAGGCCCGATAACAAGATCAAGGAGCCGGGCGCAAACCTTGACACGCCTATAAAAGACCTTCTCATTCTCTGGCGCGCCAGCCCTGAGGATGCCGGCAGGCGACGGCGAAAGCTTGGCGCTTTTTAAAACTTTTATATTTTTAATTTATTAAAAACTTTTACAGTTTTTATTACCCTGGTGTTCAGTTTATATTTTCACCATGAATATTCCCAGGGTTCATATTTTTAACCTTTTTAATCGTATATATATATATATATATATATATATATATATATATATATATATATATATATATATGATATATGATATATCCTATAAGCTATTGTGAGGATAAATACCCTACCAGTTGTTCATTTCCAGCACATGAAAATCTTTACAAACTTGTCAGTGAATCATTTTTGCAATTGTGTTGTGTCATCATTTATAGTCGGTTGGTGTGATCTTCTTGCATGAACTCTGGACAAGTACAGTAATGATCTACTTGTCTCTGGAGATTCTCAGTCATCCAGGTCATGGTTGTCCCAAAAGTGCTTTTTTAAAAGGCAACTGGACTTTCTGAGAATTGAAGAAGCTTCTTGGATGAGAAGCGAAACAAAGAAAAAATAAAGAAAGTCCAGTTATCTTTTGAAAAAGCACCTTTGGGACTATGTGAACTACAGTTTCTTCTTCCCCTTTGAAAATCTGCACTTTGACTCATTTGATGATTTTTCAATCTTGGCCTTGTTTGCGTTAGTTTGAATAGCTTGCTCTTGAGCAGCCAAAAATCAAGCCTTCAGTTTCTTTTTAGCTGTAAGCCATTGCCAGGTTTTATCTTTCTCCACTTTCCTCTCAATCTTTTACAAATATTTACCATGTAATGTTTTGCCTTGCCAGCATTTTGTTCATTTTTTTATTACATTATTTCGATGTTCAGTTTTGTTTGACTTGAAGTAAACCTCTCCCTTTATTTCTGTGGGGCAGGTATAATTAATATCACTGCGAGGTTGTAATACATTATTACTATTACTATTATTATTATTATTATTATTATGGATCATCGCACAGTCAGACAGATGTTCAGACTGGATTTGGCATTTTGTCTACCTATCGAGTCCTTACCCAGGACCTGGGATAGGCAGATGTGGATGTTTGATGGTATTACAGATATCGTCGCAGGATGGAAGCAGTTCCTTAAGGCCGCCTTTTGCAATTGACTAATAGCGATTTGTCAATGCCAATCAAGTGGTGCTCCAGTTGTTTTGGGATTGCACCCAAGGAGCCTATGACTATTGGTACTACCCTTGCTTGCTTTTGCCACAGTCTTTCTATTTCTATTTGTAGGTCTTTGTATTTTGTTATCTTCTCCATATTCTGCTATCCAGGCACTGCCACGTCCACTATCCAGATATCGACAATTGTTAATATGCATGAATTCTGAAGTGCTATAAGCTATGATGTTTTTGCTTACAGGCAAATGATATGCAGAAATGCACCATTGTTGCTACTTTGTCAGTAATCAGTGTCATTTACCAAGCACATGCATAAAATGACTTGTATGCAAAGGCTTGGTCTTGTGCAGCCAGAATTAGTGAATTCATCTGCTTTCCCAGCAATTGTGTTGCTTTGTCATCATTTATAGTCGGTTTGGTGTGCATCTTCATCATTGTTCTTCTTCTTCCAAAGCATAGCATTCCACGCCCACCTGCCTTGGTAGATAAAGTCTATCAAGTCACAGTGAATTGTCATTATGCCTATCCATTGCTTGTTCTGCTTGAGAGTCCACTATTCCAGCTGTGTCTAATGAGATTGCCCAGGTGTTGATTCCTTTATGGTCATTGAGTTTGGGTTGTATTCACCCAAACTTCAGTGTGCTTGATGTTTTTGAAGGATAAATTTGTAGGACTCTTAATGTTATTTTCGTGGGGCATCTTGATTCCTTCAGACTTTCCTTGTTTGATAGTAAGTGTGGCACATTTGTCCAAGCCAAACTCCATTACAATATCTTGGCTATATATACGGACAGTGTTGAGCAGCGATTCTATTTCAGATGATGTTTTTCCATACAGCTTCAGATCATCCAGAAAGGAGGTGGGATAGTCTAGATGTTTTTGATGTTTGAAATGTCCTGAGTTATCTGACAGAGGAAACAGTGCAATAACAAATAGTAATGGTGATAATGAATCTCCTTGAAATATTCCTCTCTTGATATTAACCTCTCCCAGGATCTGCAACTGTGTCTTCCATTGTGCCATCGTGCACAAATTTTCTGATGTTTCTACTTACTCCTGTTATTTCTAGGCACTTGATTATTCATGTGGCAGAGAGTCAAATGCCTTTTTGTAGTCAATCCATGCCACATTCATGCAGTTTTCCAAGATCATTTTGTCTATTAGGAGTTGATCTTTTGTTCCTCTGCTATTGGGGCGGTTTCCTTTCTGCTCAGGTGGAAAGAGATTGTTTTCAACTAGATGCTGTTGTACTGCATCAGCTACCACACCAGTTAGTAATTTGAAAGTTGTTGGTAAGCAGGTAATTGGCCTGTAGTTAGATTTTTCATTATTAGGTAGGTTTTCCCAGTTGTTAGCCACTTTTCAATTTCTCCTCCTTGTAGTATATTGTTGAATTGCTTGGCAATGAGTGGGTGTATAACAGTTAGATGTTTCAACCAAAACCCATGCAGTTCATCTTCACCTGGTGCTGACCAATTTTTGATTTTCTTTGCTCTTTTTTCTACCATTTTTGTTGTTATTACTAGTTCTTTCATTTCAACTTCTGTTTTATTTGCTTTTAACCAAGTATCCTTGTTGTATTTCTTTGGGTTATCCCATATCTGCTTCCCACTGTTTCTTCCTTGTCAGGTACTGACTGATTCCTTGCAGTTTCTCCATTGATGGATTGGTAGAAACGTTTCTGATTGGATTGAAATTGGAGGTTCTGCCTATAGTTTGCAATTCGAGCTTCATATCTACTGATTTTCCTGGCTATAGCTGTTATTTGTTGCTTTATTATTTCCAGTGCTTCCTTGATCTTCCTTGTTTCTAAGTGGTATTTCTTGATTAGGTATTCTTTGGTCTTCTTGTTCTTCAGCTTCTTTTCTTTCATCTGTTCTAGCTTGCTTGCATGTGATCTTAACTTGCTGATCTTATTTTCTAGTCTAACCTTCCATTTTTCTGGTGCACTGTTTGTTTGTTTTTCTTTTTTGTTGATTTTACATCCCAGGTATTCTGTTATAACTGCAGCTGTGCTGTACATTAATTGGTTTGTTTCTTGCTGGTGCTTATACTTGCTAAATTTGCATCTTTTAATGCTTGTGCTAGCTGTTTCTTTTTCAATGCAGGCAGCCTTATTCTGTTGTTTTTGTGCTGTTCTAGATGCTCAGGTTTCAATTCTTTTATTTCTTTAGTTAGAGGGTTTTGTTCTTCCTGAGGAAGAGGTGCCTGGTTTCCAAATGAGAACAGTTGTATATCTCTTGGTAATACATTCTGAATTACTTCTTGTAAGGCTTTGATTTCTTTGCCCTGGGTAAACCTTTGCAGTTCGTTATTCTGTTTCTGTAAATACTTTATTTCGTGTTATAAATCGGCGTTGATCTGCTAGTCTCTGTTCTGTTATTTCTGATTCTGGATGTTGTTCTTTCCAGAATGGTGCATTCGTTTTAGATATGGACTTGATCACAGATCATTATTTCTTTGTTTTCCATCACTGTGTATCTGCGACGGGTAAACACCTTTTCTTCCAGTAGTTCTGCAGCTGCTGGCCCTGGTTGCTCAGCCAACAGTCCTGAGTCCTGTAACCCTCACCAGATATCCAGGAACTCCAATATCTAGTGCGGACCTTGTTAACCCGGGCGACGTCCGAGCCGGTATGGCATTCTGAAATTTACGTCTCACCATATTTTTTATGGGAGAGACACTCTTTGTCTGACTCCTCTGATGAGACCTGTCCAGTATGGTTGAACCTCTGGCATAGCTCTCATCTTCCTCAGAGTACACAAGCCCCACAACCACGTCAAGGTAGTGCCTCACGTCTTATTATTATTATTATTATTATTATTATTATTATTATGGATCATCGCACAGTCAGCCAGATGTTCAGACTGGATTTGGCATTTTGTCTACCTATCGAGTCCTTACCCAGGACCTGGGATAGGCAGATCTGTTTGATGGTATTACAGATATCGTCGCAGGATGGAAGCAGTTCCTAGTAAGGCCGCCTTTTGCAATTGACTAATAGCGAATTTGTCAATGCCGATGATGGTGTTCAAGTGGTGCTCCAGTTGTTTTGGGATTGCACCCAAGGCGCCTATGACTATTGGTACTACCCTTGCTTGCTTTTGCCACAGTCTTTCTATTTCTATTTGTAGGTCTTTGTTGTTGTTGTTGTTATTATTATTATTATTATTATTATTTTCAGAGATAGCTATGGATTCATCACTTACCGCTATACTTGTGATGCCTTTGCTGCACTAGAAAATGGAAATACTCTACGCAGATCCAATGAACCTGCCTTTCAGCTGTATTTTTGTGGACAGAGGCAACGCTGCAAGGCTAACTATGCAGATCTTGGTACGGTGTTTACTATTAGCTGAATGTAAGAATCAGTTTGGTCTGCTGGAGGGTTTTCTAATTTTTGAGCTTGTTCCACTCCTAACTCCCCTAAGAAAGCATATTTAAAAAATACACTCAATTCAGGAAAAGGGTTATTGTTCCTTATCTAAGGACTGCGTAAGGTCTTTTAAAAATAACTGTATTTCCCCCCCTCCAAGATTTTTAAAAATGAGAAATTGTAAAAAGGTGCAAAATTATAATGTAAACACAATTCTTTTGCACCAGTGGGCAAGAAAGATTGGATCTGCTGCCAAATGGGCTGTGGGTTGTCTGCTGGTTTCCGATGGGCTTTCTAAATATTAACTTTTTCTAAAGCAATGGAAAGTTGGCTGCTTTGGAAAAGATCAGAATGTGGACGAAGTCATTTGTCAGGAGAATGCCTTTTCTTTCTTGCTCATTCAGGTTGCTGAGTCCAGTCTCTTTTTCCAAGCCAGTGCAGGACGGAATAGGACAACTCACAATAGCCCGCTTGCCGCGGTCATCTCACCTTTGCCAATTCGCCATGAGCCAACTCAACACAGCCAGCTGTCCCACTCACCAATTGGACAACTCGTTGTGGCCAATTCACCACACGACAATTCAACAATTTTATTTCATTATTTAAAATAATTTTAAGCATGTTTTAATTTGCCTCGTTCCCAGTTTTCATTCTCTCCCTCCTTTCACATCCTTTCTTTAATGGGTCTACTGCACCTTGTCTTTGATATTGTGTAACTTTTGTCCCACAGTGAGTTGGTCATGATGAGCTGGCCACAGAAAGTTGGCCACAGTGAGTTGACTATGGCAAGTTGATTGTGGTGAGTTGGCTGTGGCAAATTCTCCTGGTCCCATGCAGAAGTGGGCAGAGCATTAGGACAGCCCAAAAATAAATTTAGGTTTTAAGTTGGCAAGTGCCAAAACCTGCATGGTGAATAATTACGGACAGACGCCAAGAGCTCCACTCCCCACCTCCAGTTGGTTTGATTCAGTAGTCCCTTTTCTCTGGAAGCCCAGAGCAGCTTTGCCTAGTAAAGGTTTTGTGTACAGGTTGTGCTCAACTTACAACAGTTCCTTTAGTGACCGTTCAAAGTTACAACGCCACTGGGAAAAAAGCGACTTGTAACTCTTTTTCACATTTACGACCTTTGCAGCGACTCCATGATCACGTGATCCAAATCCAGACATTTGGTTCATACTTATGACAGTTGCTTCATCCCAGGGGATCAGGTGATCCCTTTTTGTGACCTCTTGATAAGCAAAGTCAAAGGGGGACTTCAGGCAGATTCACTTAACAACCGGCTTACTAGCTTATCAATGGCAAAACTCCCTTAACAAATTCTCACTTAACAGCATAAATTTTGGGCTCACAAGGACTAACCTTTACGCTAAGCCGTTCATTGCTCCAAAGGATCTTATTAAATGTCTGTTTTTATATTAGAGCCAAACCAATATTATTCTCTTTCCGATGTTAAGTGGAGAAGAGACACTATTATTAGCCTCTCTGATGGTTTCATTTGGTTCTGGAGAGAGGGTCAAAATTAAGATCTCTGCACAACGCTGTTCCTTTCGGTGGGCGAAGCGTGCTCTGTTCTGCCTCTGTTTTGTGTGCCGTGGGGAGAGAACACAAGGCGGGCGTTTTCCCCTAAGCTTCGGGCGCTTCCTCAGAGTTGCAGTGATAACCGCAATGTGCATTTGTTTCAAGTGGACGTGCGATCATTCACTGCCGAAAAGAGATAGCGTAAAGTTGCAGAAAGCAACGGCCTGCTGCAGAGATAAAAAAAAAAAGGCGGGTGAAAATCTCAACATTAACAAATCATTTGTTCTGATAAAACCCACTCCAGATGGATGGAAGTCTTGACTTGATTTGACTTATCTTCCTCACTGACGAAGCCAGGGATGTTTGCAGTATCTCAAAACATCTACGATATAAAATAAGTGGCCTGACAGACAGCTGCTGGAGCACTATTCATTACTAAGAGTGGGCTCTCGGTAGCTCCCCAAGCCTCTTCTGTGCCAGAATTTCATTGTGGATTTTTTTGTTTTGTTTTTTTTGCTTTTATATCAGAAATGACCGGGCCATTATTCTGCAGGAAGATGTCTATGTTTGTCAGGGGAAATCGTCGGAATTCTGGAGGGAATAAATAAATTAAACAAGGGAAGAGGAAGGCGGGGTGGGGTTGGCGAAAGACGTCAGGGCATATTCTAGATCAACCCCAAACAGCTAATCACTAAAAGCGATTGATTCATGGAATAATTCAAATATATTTTATTCTACATCATGTTTTTTTGGAGAAGCAGTGTGGTTAATAGGACTGTCTCTGATGAGATTGGAACGTTACCCTGCTGTATTGTGAATTCATCAAAGGGATTATATGTATAAAAAAATATAATGACCAATAAGAAGTGACTCGCAAATTTAATACTTAATTTCGTTGTGAGTTACACAGTGACAATAAAGATATTCTCTGTTCTTTTCTTCTCTTTTCTTTTCTTCTCTTCTCTTTTCTTTATTTCTCTTCTCTTCTATTCTATTCTATTCTACCCTGCTGTACTGTGAATTCATCAAAGAGATTATATGTATAAAAAATATAATGACCAATAAGAAGCAACTCGCAAATTTAATACTTAATTTCGTTGTGAGTTACACAATGACAATAAAGATATTCTCTTCTCTTCTATTCTCTTCTATTCTATTCTATATTTCTATTCTGTTCTATTCTGTTCTATTCTATTCTATTCTGTTCTATTCTATTCTATTCTATTCTATTCTTTATTCCATTATTCTATTCTATTCTATTCTATTCTACCCTGCTGTACTGTGAATTCATCAGAGATTATATGTATAAAAAATATAATGACCAATAAGAAGGTACTTGAAAATTTAATACTTAATTTTGTTGTGAGTTACATAATGACAATAAAGGTATTCTATTCTATTCTATTCTATTCTATTCTATTCTATTCTATTCTATTCTATTCCTTGCTCTGTTCTATTCATTTCTCTATTCTGTTCATTTCTCTATTCTATTCATTTCTCTATTCTATTCTTATTTCTATTCTATTCTATTCTATTCTAAAAAAGGGAATTTTTACGACTTTTCTTGCCACCGTTGTTCAATGACTCACTACAGTTGCTAACCTAGTAACCCGGTCATTAAGCGAATCTAGCTTTACCTCCCTTTACTTTGCTTGGCGGGTTGTAAAACAGGATCACGTGACCCTCCCCAGGACGCTACAATTGTCGTAAATATGAGCCAGTCACCCAACTTCTGAATTTCGAATGACGTGAACGTGGGGGACGCTACAAAGGTCAGAACTGGGAAAAAAACCAATTTCCATGGTTGCTAACCGAATCACTGCAGCTATTAAGTGAAGCTGGCTTCCCCCATTGACTTAGCTTGTCAGGAGGTCACAAAAGGCGATCACGTCACCCCTGGGGGAACATGTGACCGTTATAAATATGAGCGTCCCAATTTTGATCACTTGACTGTGGGGAATGCGGCAATGGCCGTAAGTGTGAAAAACAGTCCTCGGTTCCTTTTTTTTTCAGTGCCATCGTAACTTTGAAGAGTCACTAAATGTCGTAAGTCGAGAACTACTCACATCAGCGTGGCTGCTGTGAAATGACCCGACTTCAACTCCCAGAATTCCCCAACGTCCCCCTGGCTAGGGTATTCTGGGAGTTGAAGTCCACCTGCCTTAAAGTTTGAAAACAAACGAACACCCTGATCTCTTCTGTCAGGTGGTAGGAAGTGGGGACCTAAGCATGCCTGAAGGATTTATTTTCTTCCAGATTCAGACGACTTTGATCCTGCTTCTACTAAGAGCAAGTACGACTCCATGGATTTCGATAGTTTACTTCGAGAGGCGCAAGGCAGCTTCCGAAGGTAACGCGCGACGCGGCGAAGAAGAACGGAAAAAGGTGCCACAAACACGTCCTTCGGTCATAGCCCGTAAAGAAGTCATTACTCACACATACACCACCTCCTCTGCGTCCTCCCTCACGGAAACATGGTTTACACGGACGAGGAACGGAGAGGCAGCTGGGGCCGATCACAACAGTCGTGTCATACTCTCTTAAGTTCCAGCGCTGCTTTTCCAGGTGGTGAATGAGGTTGTGGGTTTTAGTCTTCGTTGTGGCGGCAGTTCCATAGAGAACCGAGTCCAAACAAACTTAGAAAATATGTACAGAACGGCATTTTTCCAAATGAAGCAATTTGAAACTTTTAGCTGCCGGCATCTAAGATAACACACTGTGTTTTGGTGCTTTATTTTATTTTATTTTTTAAAAATTCCCTTAAAGCGAGCTTCCCACACCGGGTTGTTTTAATAGGATGACAATCTTTAAAGAGAACTGCAGATACCGCAAAACCCACGGTCCATTCTTGTGTTGTTGTCAGGGGAGGAAAAAAAAACAAAAAAACAACACCAGTGGAAGGTGGAAAAACATCTGGAGGATTTTAAATGTTTGCTGTTTTAATTATGACTTCCATTTTTCTTTTTCTTTTATTAACCATCAGCGTGCGGAATAGGTTTTTTTTCTTTTCTTTCTTTCTTCCTTGATGAACCGACACGGTGTTACTTTACAGAACAGCCAAGGGTAATAACCTTCATGGAGGAAAGGAGAAAAGAATTTACAGTTAGATGACCGACTACATTTGACAATGTAGTCCAGTATTTACCCTTGTTCAATGGAGTATTTTTATTTTATGTACATAGCTTATGGGAATACAATGCGCGCTCTCTCCCTATCTCTCTTTTGGTTGGAGCTATGCACTGTAAATGCAGCGTCCTTTTAAAAAAAAACACACACAACCTGCTGACTTTTTTCTTAATCGAGAATATTCAAATGTAATTATACAAGGCGAAACAATATTGTACACTAACGCATTTAGAAAGCTGAACTTAACGCTTATCTATATTTGATTGTTAAAAAACTAAAAATAAAAAGTGAAGCGGGCGAGTGAATGTATGAATGTGTGCACTGGATGCGGGGGAAATGCTGACGCTTTTTGCCATATCTTTCTTCCTTTCCTTTAATTATCGGAATTCAGACAAAGTTAAGAATATTCAAACTTGCCTCCTTACACAATGAGCAGACGAGCCTCTGTCTGTCTTTTATCCCTTTTCCCAGCCATGTGATTGTTATTTGTGCTGGTAAAGCAGGTCGAGTAAGGATGTATGGCAGTGTTTCTCAACCTTGACCATTTTAAGGCGTGTGGACTTCAACTCCCAGAATTCCACAGCCAGCATTGCTGGCTTTGGAATTCTGGGAGTTGAAGTCCACATGCCTTAAAATGGTCAAGGTTGAGAAACACTGATGTATTGGGACATAGATATAGATTAGAGATTCACAAAGCCTTCTGTTCTTCTTCTGGACCACACAGTGTAGCCGTTGCAGGTGACAAAAGCTGTCTTCCAACTACAATGGGCTGGATTTGAGGATTAACTTCTGGAAAGCTGCAGGACCCTAAAACGTCAAATGGGAGCAGAGCAGAAGAGAAGTGGGATTATCCTGAAGGAAAGAAGTTCTCTAGAACTTGTGGGCCAGGAAGTAACCCAGACCTGATAAAGACATTTATTTATTTATTTTCCTCTATATTCATATCGGACGTGAAATTGGAGTCTTCCAACCTCTTAACTAATGTTCTAAATAGGATCTACAGAACTCCGATCAAATATTCCTGGTCTGACTTGCTGAAAACACGTCTGTCTGGATTTGAATTGGGAATTGGGTATGTCTAGTTTAATGAAAAGGAGAACTAGGGATGATATGATACAGTAGCAGTCTTCTAATATTTGAGGGGCTGCCCTAAAGAAGAGGGAGGTCAAGCTATTCTCCAAAACAAGGAGCCAAGGATGGAAACTAATCAAGAAAAGATCAAACCTAGAATTAAGGAGAAATTTCCTGACAGTGAGAACGATTAACCAGTGGAACAACTTGCCTCCAGAAGTTGTGGGTGCTCCAGCACTGGAAGTTCTTAAGAAGAGATTGGACAGCCATCTGTCTGAAATGGTATAGGGTCTCCTGCTTGAGCAGGGGGTTAGACTAGAAGACCTTCAATGTCCCTCCCAACTCTGTTATTCTGTTACTCAGAATAAAACTGGGCTTTAAATCAGAAATACAGTCTGCTAAATAAGAGACCATTCTACATCTTCCCAGACTACTAATGTCCTGACTTGAATGATAGTGAAATTACTGGGTGACGAAGCTCAAAGTGTTTCTTGAAGAAACACTTCTAGTTATTTACAAGTGTCACCAAGGCTGTTACGAATGTGACTTCCACTAACGGGACCAGAGGATTTTCTAGAGATGACATCCCGAGACAGACGGCCGGGCAATCTTGATACATTATCAAGGAGCCTAACTTGATATACAGCAGAGACCCAAAGTTAGCAGCTTTGGTAACCACGATTAGCAAGAGGGTCTTGAGAACTGAGGTAAGAACTAACAAGCAACAGCACAACTAACAGAGTTGTCAGAACAACTAACAAGGCAGGAAAAGAAGCAACAGATGGAAACTAATTGAGGAGCGAAGCAACCTGGAATTAAGGAGAAATTTCATAACAGGGAGAACAATTAACCAGTGGAACTACCTGCCTCCAGAAGTTGTGGGTGCTTCATCACTGGAGGTTTCTAAGAAGAGACTGGACAGCCACTATCTGGAATGGTATAGGGCAGGGGTAGGCAACCTTGGCTCTTTTATGACTCGTGGACCTCAGCTCCCAGAATCCTTGAGTCAGCCATGGTGAGGGGAAAGGGAGAGGTTTCCAAGCTGAGCCATGCCGGCTCAGGAATTCTGGGAATTGAAGTCCAAGAGTCATAAAAGAGCCAAGGTTGCCTACCCCTGGTATAGGATCTCCTGCTTGAGTAGGATGTTGGACTAGAAGACCTCCAAGGTCCCATCCAGTTCTATTCTGATTGATTAAGAAGCGTTGTTGTAATCTGTTTGTCTTCTAGGATTATTTGGTATTTAGTCCAATAGATATCAGTGAGATAGTTTAACACAAGCTTTGCAATCTAGCTTGGCTGAGCTTAACAGTGCTGTCCTGTTTACACTCTCATTTAATGTAATTTTTGGTGCAAATTTGTCTGGGAATTGGATTTATCTTAACTTTGCCTGGATCCTGACATTTTTTCAAATCCTGTCTTAACTACCTAGGTATAACTAATATCTCTATTTTTCCTTCCTTCCTTCCTTCCTTCCTTCCTTCCTTCCTTCCTTCCTTCCTTCCTTCCTTCCTTCTATCTTTAGTGCTTTTATATACATAACATTTATTAAAGTGGGGGGGGAGATGTTTTTCGTTATTTTTTTTTCTAGGAAATCTCATTATTTTATTTACTGCTTCTTAAATTGTAATCCTTAAGATCAGTTTTTATTTTATGTATTGATAGTTTTGAAACTAGAAGACAGAAATCTTTATAAAAAAAATTATGCTTTTCACTGCTGTGGCTTTAATTTGATAAAACAAATTGTTGTGGTACAGAGCACAGTTCTGCTTTTAAAATAATGCTGTGTTTCTGGACACTCTTTCTTGAGAAGCCAGTAATTACCTATGATTTTAAATGTATACATCCTGTATAAACATTAACTTTCATTCCTTTGTTTACTTAAAGAGGCATATTTATCAGTTGTGATTAACTATTTATTATAAATTATGAGGTGACTAAAATAATAAAAAAAGGCCAGTGGAAATTTTATACCTAAGATGCACACCAATTGTAAGGTTGTTAAATGTATATTAAGTTTTTTTTAAATGTCTTTTTTTCCCCTTATGAAACAGTGGCTTTTTTCTTCCCCTTTATTATTATTTAGCTATGCACTATTATGGCCTTAGGAGCCCCCATAACTTTGTGGGAGCTTTAGAATTGTAGAATCCATTTGTAAGTTTCTGGGCTGACATAGTGCAAGCTGCTAAAAAAAAAAAAAACACCTAATTTGTGCAGCCCTTCATCTCATTCATACCTTGTTTGTTCAAGTCATTCTTGTCCATTGCTTTACTGGATTTCAACTCAACACACACCATTACACAATGGGTCCTCCTCTTGCGTCTTCTCCTTCATGGGGGCTGAAACAGGTGCCATGTGACAGGTGTAGGCCACCACCCCGCGATAGATGGGGCCAGTGAGTGTGTCAAGGGCTTTCAAGGGATGGATGAGTTCCTTCGGCATTAGCAAGACTTCAGGCACATATTTGTGTCCCCTTAAAATTGCCCAAGGTCCCCCCCCCCAAACCAAAGAACACAAATGTGTGGCTCCACCCAGTAAATGTCTATGGAGATTCTCCTTCATCCGGGTCATGATTGTCCCAAAAGTGCTATCTTTCAGAAGGCAACTGGATTTTCTTTGCTTTTTCCTTGAAGACGTTTCGCTTTTCATCCAAGAAGCTTCTTCAGCTCTGGACTGAATATACATCCTTCCATTCTCCACCATTCAGCCAGAGCTGAAGGAGCTTCTTGGTTGAGAAGCAAAATGTCTTCAAGGAAATATAAGGAAGTCCTGTTGCCTCTTGAAAAAGCACCTTTGGGGCTCCACCCATTACTGAGGCCTCTTAAGGGGTCAAAAAATTGGTATAATGTTCCCGTTTTTCTGATAGCCCTAATTTTAGGGTGTTTGCTGCTTTCCCATAAAATGCCAGAGTTTCCTCTGAATGCGTCAGGCTCTAAGAAATGTATACTGTCCTTTGTGGTTGGTCAAAATAAAACAAAAGGCTTATGCCACAGAGGATACAGAGAGATCTTTTGTAGGCATTTCTCTACCTGCTTATGCCGAAGAATTAATTCTTCAAGTATAATTAAGCTCCTCTCCACATGCATGCTGAAATGTACAGGCTTGTTCAAACACAGCCCATAAATTTTTGTATCAAGGTATTTGTCCTCATGTACAAAAAAAATAATACATTTTACCTGGTGGCATAGTGGTCAGAATGCAGTATTGCAGGCAAACTCTGCCCACAGCCAAGAAGTTTGATCCTGACCGGCTCCAGGTTGACTCAGTCTTCTATCCTTCCTTCCGAGGTCGATAAAATGAGGACCCAGAGTGTTGGGGGGAAAAGGCTGACTCTGTAAACCGCTTAGAGAGGGCTGTAAAGCACCGTGAAGCGGTATATAAGTCCAAGTGCTATTGCTATTGTTAATACATTTTTGAAAGCAGTGAAAGAGGGAACAGTTTATGGGTTGTGTGGTCAATTGTGGCATCTTTGCACACCCCTATAGCAGGAACAGATCTTTTCCCTGTAGTGCAGGATACAAGAGAATTGGATCACGTGGATAAAATTTTCTGCTTAGGTCTCTCGTGTTACACTCTCTCATTGAAATAGAAGAAATCATATGGTGATTCCTAGGTGTTCAGGGAGGTAGGACCCATGCTAAGCAGCCTAGTGGCTGGTGATCCTTGAAGGAGACCATCAAGGTTTGGGGATCATGAAATGGCCCACACTCATTTTACAGGCAGAGCCTTTTCCTTCTTGATGACTTTGAAGATTCTCAGTCATCCAAGTCCTGTTTGTCCCAAAGGTGCTTTTTCAAGAGGCAACTGGACTTTCTTGTTTTTCTTTGAAGATGTTTCACTTCTCATCCAAGAAGCTTCTTCAGCTCTAGCTGGATGGTGGGGAAGGGAAGGATTTATACTCCTTATTGACAGCTGGTCATTTTCCTTCTTTTAGAGAGCCATTAAAGCCACTTGGACCCTGATGACACAAATAAACCTCCAAGTGGCCTCAATGACTCTCTAAAAGGAGGCAAATGACCAGCTGTCTGCAAGGAGTATAAATCCTTCCACTCCCCACCTTTCAGTCAGAGCTAAAAAAGCTTCTGGGATGAGAAGTGAAACATCTTCAAAGAAAAACAAAGAAATTCCTGAAAAAGCACCTTTGGAACTTTTCTTTCTTGCCTGTTCCCATCATTAGAGACAAGGCAAGCATTTTTTTTTTTAAAGGAAGGGTCTTTCAGTATGACCTGTCCTGTCTCTGGAACAAGGTCCAGGCTTCGGAAGGACCCGAATCTAAATAAATCCATTTCCATAGCTTCCGTCTCCTACCCAGTTCTGCCTTTCATGAGAAAGGAAGAAGAGAAAAACTCTCTTACTTTGGGAAATCTATAACGCGGTCTACTTTTCTAAAGCAATCGACCTCCGAACACAAACCCCAGGATTTGTAGGGGGGAAAAAAGTCGGGATGTCTGTTCCTTCCAGATGCTGCCAGCCAAGGGCCTCCTTCCCCAAGGCAGAAAGGGGTGTGTTTGGCTCCCAAATGGCTGGGTGGGCTGAAATCGCACCCAAATCCCATTTAATTTTGGGACGATAATTCAGACATGATTCCGGTTATTGTTGTTTTTCCTTGTGCCCCACATTCAGAGGGACTTTGCTTTGATCAGGGCGTAGAACCAAGCACCATTGAAAGCGTTTAAAAGGTAGTAGGAAAACGTTTTACGGTTCTGCGTGTAAAACACAAGCAGCTGTTACAATTACAACAGTTTGTTTAGTGACCGTTCAACGTTGCAACGGCATTGAAAAACACAACCTATGACCACCTTTAACACTTACGACCCTTTGCAGCAGCCCCATGATTTAAGGGAATGAAATTCAGACGCTTGGCAACCGACTCCTATTTAAAATGGCCGTGGCATCCTCGGGGTCACGTGATCCCCTTTTGCAACCTTCCCGATTGGCAAAGTCAACGGGGGAGTAGGGGGGAAAGCCAGATTCACTTAATAACCGGGGGACTAACCTATCCACCACAGCGACTCACTTAACGGCTTTGGCAAGGAAGATCGTAAAACAGAGCAAAACTCGCTTAACAAATGTCTCACTGGAGAACGGGAAATCGGGGCTCCGTCGTGGCTGTAAGGGTCT